TTCATGTTTCTATAAGTAAACTTACAATGAACTTTAAAAATTGTTGAGTTATTTTTAAGTCTTCCACTGCTGCGTAACAAATGGTAGCAGAGCGTGGTTGTTGCGATACCATTCTTTGCTTTATCACACATAAGTGTGATTTCATTAGACATTGTGTTTTCAATGCTTATGTTGCAACATGGTTGTATGATAAAGCACAAGTGTGTATTGTGTTTATCTAAAACCGTTGCTTTGTTTAGGTGTACGCTGCATTGTACCGCGTACATATAGATTTGGGCTTGTAAGTAAAATTTTGATGAACTTCGTTGATCACGTGTTGGATTATAAACATGTCTCGTACTGGTGTGACTTCTCCCTTGAAGGGGAAACTAGACAAAACAGAGCTTACACTTGAGACAGTTGCAGACATATCTCTACCTGAGTCTGATGGTATTTCAAACGTTGACAAACAGGGTTATGAAACTAAAGTAAACAATCTTAAGCGGCAAAAAATGATAGTTAAGTCAGCTTTCACTAAGTCGAAAAATGCTTTGGAGAAGTTAATTGAACAAGAAGAGATTCCATCAAGAATAGAAGTTCGGGAAGCTATAGACAAATTAAGCAATTGCCAGCTTAAGGCTTTGGAAGTTATCGTGAACCTGTCAGAAATGTTGGAAACTGTTGGTGATAAACAAAAAATGTCTAAGGTCACTGAAGAAGGTGAACTGTTAGAAGAAAATAGGTACTAAAGCTCAAGATGATGCACAAGATTATCTCAGGAATAGGACAAACAATACTACTTATCAAAAGTTAGTCACAGGTGAGTCAGGCATTCATGAACAAAACAATGAACCAGTTCACATGGTGAGGGACCACTCAGATAGTTATGATCATAGGGAACCTACACTTTCACATAGTTATGACATTGGTAAAGACATGTGGAAGCAGTTGAAAACAGTGTCCATACCTGTCTTTACTGGAGATGCCAAGTCATATGAAGCCTGGAAGGCTGCATTTATAGCATGTATAGACAAAGCACCTGCCACACCAGAATATAAATTGCTTCAGTTGCGCCAATATGTAAGTGGTGATGCAATGAAGGTTATTCAAGACTTGGGTCATAGCGCTACAGCATATGGGGTAGCACTTGAAAGGTTGGAACGTAAATTTGGTGGCAAGAGACGTCATATTGCTCTCCAAATGGAAGAAATATCATCGTTCAGGCCAGTGCGACCTGGCAATGCAAAGACTTTGAACAGTTTGCTGATATGTTGGATGTAGTTGTTGTAAACATGAGAGATTCTGACAGGTTTGAGGAGTTAGGTAATGGGTCTATGTATGTTCAACTCCTGAAGAAAATGACGGCATCCATGATTAGTCAGTACCAAAGATGGATTTTGAAGCTCAACGACAGGAATCAGTTGAAGCGTTACGTGAATGGGTTTTAATGGAAGCAGAATTCCAGATTATTGCTTAGGAAGCAATCCATGGGGTATCTGCTAAAGGAAAGACAACAATCCATAAATGTCCTCACAAGTTAGGGTCTTTCTTTGGCAATAAGCAGACTGAAAGAGACCACAGATGTCAGCTGTGTCATATGGACAACCATGACATTGTGACATGTAGAAAATTCAAAGCAATGACGGTTCAGAAGAGATGGGAAACTATCAAGCAGTTAAAGCTTTGCTTCCGTTGTTTTGGTTTCAATCACTTTGGAAAAACATGCAGACGCAATATCAAATGTGGTATTGACAACTGCCCTGCTTTGCATAATCAGTTACTCCATTCAAAGAGAAATAACAGTATCCATGGCGTACCTAATGGCAACAAGGACAATAGACAGCAAGCACAGCAACTTGAGACAAGTAACAGTTATGAAGGTCAAGTTTCAAAGGTCACTACAATGTCGTCCACAAAACCTGATAAGTCTACACTTCTTTCACTTCGGACGGTACCTGTTGTTCTTAAAACGGCCCAAACAGAATTGTTGTAAATGCATTGTTAGACGACGCAAGTACACAAACGTACATTAATGAAGATGTATCCTCACAATTGGGCTTAGTCGGTCAAGTACAAAATGTCTCTGTCAATGTTCTTAATGGACAAAGTAAGAAATTTCAGACCATGGCTGTTCACTTCGGTCTTGAAAGCATGGATGGGTCAGTTGATCTGACAATGTCTGCTTTAACTACCACTCGGGTCACCGGTCAAATGCAAGTTGTTGACTGGCAAAAAGCATTCCAAGCGATGGTCGCATTTGCAACATATTCAGTTCCCCTAAGGTAAAAGCCCCTCACATTGTAGATTTACTGATAGGTATGGATTATCTTGAATTACATCGCTCTTATGAGGATGTTTCTGGTTCTGATGGGGAACCAATAGCGAGACTTACTCCCCTTGGGTGGACATGTGTGGGATGTGTTCCTGAACAATCAGGACTTCAGAGACTTTCAAGCACTTACTTTTCAAATGACAAGGAGATTGAACTTAACACTATGCTTCACAAGTTTTGGGAAGTAGAAGAGTTTCAGTCATCAGAACCCATCTTGACTAAGCAAGATGAAGCGATTGTTGACATTGTGCAAAAATCTGTCACATATGACAATGGGCAATACGAGGTAGGCATACCTTGGAAAGCAGATTCAAAAAGTCTTCCTGACAATTACAACATGGCCTATAAACGTCTCTGTAATACAGAGAAAAAGCTGTTGAAAGGCATGGCGTAGCTGAAGTTTATAATCAAACTATTTCAGACTACCTTGATAAGGGATATATTCGGATTGTCTCTGAAAATGAAGACACCTCTGACAGTCAGTGGTTCTTACCACATTTTCCGCAATGATACGACCAGACAGAAGTACAACCAAAGTCAGGGTTGTTTTGATGCTTCAGCCAAATGTCAGGGGTACTTCGCTGAATGATATCATACACCAGGGTCCGAAACTTCAGGGCGACTTGTTTGAGATATTACTTAGATTCCGCAAACACCAAATAGCTTTGGTTTGTGACATTGCTGAAATGTATTTACAAATAGGAATTCCAGCCAAAGACTGTTCGTACTTTAGGTTCTTGTGGAGATCACTAAACCAATCCGAAATACCACAGATATATGAATTTCGGAGAATAGTCTTTGGCATGAATGCATCCCCTTTCCTGGCTCAATACATTTCTAGGGAAAATGCAAGGAGATTTGAGCATCTATTCCCAAAGCTGCAGACACTGTTTGTAAATCCACTTACATGGATGATAGTATGGATTCTGTTCCAGAAGAGGATGATGGTATCGAATTGTACAAACAGCTTACTGCTTTGTGGGGAAAAGCTGGAATGCGATCCAGAAAATGGTTATCAAATTCTCCAGAGGTCCTCAAACACATACCTGTTGAAGATAGAGCATCTGAGGTCAACTTGGCCAAGGATGAGTTACCATCAGCAAAAACATTAGGTCTTGTCTGGTTAGCTCAGAATGATGATTTCAGTTTTCGTAGTCCAATCATAGAAGAGGACTTGTCACTTACCAAGAGAGGCTTTCTCAGAGAGTTAGCCAAACTGTTTGATCCCCTTGGCTTTGTTGCTCCATTTCACATAAGAGCAAAGATCATCATGCAAAAACTGTGGTTGTCAGGCATTGACTGGGATGATGTGCTCGATCATGATGTGAAAAATGAAGCATCACAGTGGCTCACAGAGAAATCAGTTAGATGGATTACGATTTCCCAGATGTTTACAGGTGAAATCTGATATCAAAACAGCAAAAATGCATGTATTTGTTGATGCCTCTGAAGAAGCATATGGTGCAGTCTTATATTTTGTGAACACTTACCAAAACGGTGACAGTTCAAGTCATCTAGTAGCCGCTAAGAGTCGGGTTGCTCCTTTAAAGAGCGTGACCATTCCTCGGCTGGAGTTGATGGCAGCTGTTTTGGGAGTTAGGTTAATGTTGGCTGTTTCCGCGTGCCCTTGAAATCAGTACTTCCTGTTCAGTACTGTGGACTGATAGTCTAAATGTATTATGTTGGATCAAGAACCACAGTCGTTACTTTAAGTCATTTGTAGCCAACCGCGTTGCATTCATTCAGGAGCACACTGATACTTCTCAGTGGAAACAAGTTCCTTCAGAGTTAAATGCAGCAGATATTATCACCAGAGGAACATCAGTTCAAAACTGTCCTCTGCATCTTGGATGCATGGACCAGAATTTCTGTTATGTGCTGAAAACAAATGGCCAGAACAAAAAGTGCATGTCAAAACATCACACAACTCTGAACTGAAAAACAAATCTGTATCGCTCGTGACAATCTCAGATTCAGTTTGGTTATTGGAACCTACTAGGTTTTCAGACTGGAAAAGGTATACACGCATTAATGCATGGGTGTACAGATTTCTCAGCAATGCATCTGTTAAATCAGCTGAAAGAAAGAAGGGTTGCTTAACCACAGAAGAAATTGCTGATGCCGAAAAACGCATTATTTGTAATGCACAGAAAGATGCATTCTCTGAGGAATATTTGGCAATAGCAAATAGAAAACCCATTTCCAAAGGTAGCAAACTTATTAATCTTCATCCTGTTCTGGATGATGATGGTCTGCTTAGGTCTGATGGCAGACTCAAACATGCAGATTATTTGCCGTTCCAAACAAAGTTCCCAATCATTTTGCCTAGAAAACACTGGGTGACTAAGTTGATTGTTAAGAAACATCATGAGGACGGCAATCATGTTATTGGTACAAATCACATGCTTGCTGTTTTGTCATCTCGTTTTTGGATAATTGCTGGTCGTGAGGAGATCCGCGAATGGGAACGGGAATGTTCACATTGTCGCCGACAAAAGGCAAAACCAACAGCTCAAATAATGGCGCCACTGCCAAAGATGCGTTTGAGGTACTCGCTTAGAGCTTTTGAGCAGACAGGTGTTGACTATGCTGGGCCATTTCTTACAATTCAGGGACGTGGAAAGTCGAGGCAAAAAACGCTATTTGTGCCTCTTCACTTGCTTAGCAACAAAGAGCAGTACATTTGGAGATGTCGTATGCATTGGACAGTGACTCCTTTCTTAATGCGTTCTACAGGATGGCTAGTAGACGAGGGTTACCCAAAGAAATTCTTTCAGATAATGGCACAAATTTCATTGGCGCTGCAAATGAACTGAAACAGCTTGTTGCTCAACTGGATACAGACAAAGTTAAGTCATCATTGGCCAATAGAGGGGTGATCTGGAAGTTAAATCCTCCTCATGCTCCCAACTTCGGTGGAGTGTTTGAGTCAATGATTAAGGCTGCCAAGCGAGCAATATATGCCATTCTGGGATCTGGAGATATAACAGATGAGGAGCTGGTGACAGCGTTTGTTGGTGCTGAAGGTCTAATAAACTCCCGCCCTTTGACATATCAAAGTGCTCAGCCACATAATGACGTGCCTTTGACACCAAATCATTTTTTACATGGTCAAAGTGGGGGGGTATTTGCTCCGGATTCTGTGGATGTCACGGCTTACAGTCCGATGAAGAGGTGGAGAAGAGTACAGGACCTTGTGCGTCATGTCTGGAGGCGCTGGATGAAGGAGTGGTTGCCATCATTACAGACAAGAAGGAAATGGTTTTCACCCAGCCGTGATCTACAAGTGGATGATGTGGTTACCATTATATCACCAGAAGCACCTCGAGGAAGTTGGAAGCTTGGGATCATCACAAGGACATATCCAGGAACAGATGGCCACGTGAGAGTTGTGGACATTAAAACAGACAAAGCCATAGTTACTAGACCAGTTACAAAAGTATGTCCTTTGGAATGGACAGATGGAACAAAGCAGACAACCGGATGGAACAGAACAGACAACAGGATGGAACAGAACAGACAACAGGATGGAACAGAACAGACAACAGGATCGAAAACAGAGGATGGAACAGAGAAAAGGACTGAATAGAGAAGAGGAACAGAAAGGACAATATTGTATGTATATTAGACATTTCATTAACATTCACAGGAACATATGTGCGTTTCAAGGATTTGATTTCATGTGAACATGTGTGAATTTTATTTTCAGAGAGGACTCATGGTGTTTCTTTTAAGAATGAGTGTGAACTTTGAACTGACATTTTTTTTATTTTTCAGGTTCAGAACATGTGAAATGTGAATATTTGTTGTTTGAATTACATTGTAATGAATGTTGTAGAATTATGACAGACACGAAGTTATCATAGTGGGGGGAATGGACAGAAGGTCCGAACAAACCCAAACATTCGCACGAACGCACCACTTCAAAAGAGCTGGATAGCCGTGCGTGAACCACGTGCAGAATTGCGCAAAAGCTTGCGACAGTGTATACTTGTCACTGAACTAGGCAGTTCGTTTTTGGTTTTCGATAGAGCAGCCACACTGTCGGCGACTGTCTCTTTTTGTGCCAAATCAGGGCATAATAGTAAGAAGTCAAATAAGGACTTTCAATTGGACCATATGATGGTTTCGGTGGTCACATAAGGACCGTGCCGTGTTATGTCAAATTAGGACATATTGCTGTATATAGTGCCGTTGAAATATTTCGTTGGTTCATGTTTCTATAAGTAAACTTACAATGAACTTTAAAAATTGTTGAGTTATTTTTAAGTCTTCCACTGCTGCGTAACAACCATACTGATCCCTCAAACTACCGTCCTATATCACTAACTAGCTGTGTTTGCAAAACCATGGAGCGCATGGTCAACAATCGATTAATCTGGTACTTGGAGACCAATAACCTCCTCAGTGACCTCCAATGTGGTTTCCGAAAAAAACGAAGTACCATTGACCATCTGGTGCGTCTGGAAGCATTCATCAAAAACTCCATTGTCAACAAACAACATGCAGTATCTATCTTTTTCGACTTAGAAAAAGCATATGATACAACATGGAAACATGGTATCCTAAAAGATTTACACGAGTTTGGATTGAGGGTAGACTACCTCAATTCATATCTCGTTTCTAAATAACAGACAATTCCAAGTTCGGGTGGGTTCCACACTGTCTGATTACTTCCATCAAGATCAGGGCGTCCCCAAGGCAGCATCCTGTCTGTCACACTTTTAGCATCAAAATTAACAGCCTCACTAACGTTCTGAACAGTTGCGTTGATGGGTCCTTTTCGTCGATGACTTCAATATTTCATGTCGTGGTAAGAACATGCACGCAACAGAAAGGCAGCTACAACTCTGCCTTAACAAAATCCAAAAATGGGCCAATGAAAATGGTTTTAGGTTTTCAAAATCCAAAACGAATTGTATTCACTTTTGTCGTAAATACAAACCACACAAGGATCCAGACCTAACTTTAGATGGTACTCCCATCAAAGTAGTAGAAGAGGCCAAATTCCTTGGACTCAAATTCGACCGCCACCTGACATTCTTACCACACATAAAATATGTGAAAACAAAGTGCCTGAAGGCTTTAGACTTGCTAAAAGTAGTTTCAAATACAGAGTGGGGAGGGGATCAGACCACCCTCCTTCACCTGTACAGATCATTAGTCCGCAGTAAACTGGATTATGGCTCCATTGTCTACGGTGGAGCCTGCAAAAAGCAATTTAGAAAAATTAGACTCTATCCACCACCAAGGACTAAGGCTCTGCCTGGGAGCTTTAGGACCTCTCCGGTAGACAGTCTATATGCGGAGGCCAATGAACCTTCCTTGAACAACGCCGCATTAAACTCTCACTGCAGTATATCACTAAATTACGTTCAAATGAGTCCAATCCAGCATACAACTGTGTTTTCAACCCGCTCTATGAAAACTTATTTCCTAAACTGCCAAGCCTGGTTCCACCACTTGGAATAAGGATCAAACCACACATATCTGCAGCTAAAATTTATCTCAACATCATTGCGCCTTACCGACTTCTGTCCTCACCACCATGGCAAATGGTGAAACCACAGGTCGATCTTACCCTCACCAAACTCAAAAAGTCTGAAACAAATCCCTTGGTGTTCCAACAGGAATACAACCAGTTTCGTTCGAAGTATAACACTCATAGATCCATCTTCACAGACGGATCCAAGGACGATGGCCAAGTTGCCAGCGCTACAGTCATTGGAGCCAAGACTGTCTCCTCTAGGATCCCCGACAACAGTTCCATTTTCACCGCTGAAGCCAAAGCTATCTTCTCAGCTCTGACCTACATTCAACAGCAAAATCAGTCCAAAAACTTCATCGTATTTACAGATTCATTATCCTGCCTTCAAGCACTTCTAAACGTGACTTCAAGTCACCCAATCATCCTGGACATATTAGAACTGTACAACGACCTTTCTACTAGCCAATATGACATCATCCTCTGCTGGTTGCCGGGTCACGTCGGCATAGCAGGTAACACTAAGGCCGATGCTGCAGCAAAAGCAGCTCTTGAAAAGCCCCTATCTCCACTGCTAATCCCGTACAGTGATTTCAAACCCACTATCAAAGCTATACTCGGGACTTGATGCAAAAAGGTGGGACACCCAAGTAGGAAGAAACAAACTCCATGAATTGAAGCCAACAGTCGGTTATACCTGCTTGGGTTGCCAGTCAAGACGTGATGAAGTAATTTTACGACGATGTCGTATTGGCCATAGTCGGTTTACACATGACTATCTGCTAAAAACAGATGGGGATGGACCCCCCATATGTCTCTCCTGCGATGAGGCTCTCACCGTCAAGCATATTCTGCTTGACTGTGTGGAGTTTACATCTGCAAGGGACTCGCATTATCACGCAACCAATCTGAAAGATCTGTTCTCCAGCGTGAGCGCTCATCTGATACTAAACTACCTGAGGGAAGTCTATATCATAAAATGTAACTGTGTAATGTCAATAACGAATGTATCTGCTTTTCAATCTAGTGCTATGACATTCTCTGTTATAAAATGACAACGTAATGAATGTATGTCTTTGAAACGAAACCACTTTGTACTTACAATGTATATTAATGCAGACTTGTTCTGGTCACTATATGGCTGGAATAATGCCGATGTGACGTAAAGCCCAACTCAACTCAACCCAACTCAACTACAAATTACAAAAAACACACTCTCGTAACAATATGCATCTACCGAATCAGTGAGCCTGACCATCCGATCTCACTGGCTTTAAAAAACATAATTTAAGTAATGATGCTACTGATTGTGCTGAATAATATGTCATTAAGTTTTCATCTCATGGCTAGTGCTAAGGGTACGCGTGCACGCGCTCGTTTATGTGTTTAGAAGCTTGATATGATGTGCATCAACCGAGTCAGTCAGCCTGACCATCCGATCTCTATTCAGACAACTAACCCCTTCCTTCATAATCAGGGGTCATCATTGTCTGGCCTGTCTCATTTTCTTGATGGAAAATCTTGTCCACATCTCCGAACAAGGGTGCTATAGCTTTTCAGATGTAGGGAAAACCTCTGAATGTACCTCATAAACTCATTTCCCTCACATTCTGTCTCCAGATGAAAGCTGTAGAAAAAAACATTATTTGTGTTTTGGTGCAAATGATATTATCATCCAAACTGTGTTCCACAAAATTGCAGTAGAGGTACCTGTTTACATCATCATTATGTACAACTTACATCTGCTACACACATGCATGATGCACAGAATGGTAATATATACATATTGGCTGGTAATAGAATAAACTATGTTTATACATGAATTTATACAGTTAAGAGACCATATGTTACACATATACGTTATTTCTTTTCCTTTTTTGGGGCGTTGCTTAAAATAGGATTATTATTATTTTGTCAAATATTGTTAATTCCCTCATATACAAAAAGTGAAATTCATCTCCGATATGATTTGAATTACAAAGAGAGCATAATGCTTCATTTTACTCGGTTTTAGCAGGGCGTCGTGAACTTTCCTCTTAACGTGGAATAGTTGACCCGAATTATCGACCAGCATCAGCATTCGTGTAAACAATATCCTTCAATTGATAAGTGTCACGTATCGTTTAATTGATAACATCATTGTACAGATCCAAGGTGGTGTTTGCACAACGATTAAAACATGACATGAAAGCACCATCCGGTGTTTGTCTTGCTGTTCTAATCTTATACAAGAGACGAAGGTAAACAAATTCTTGTGCTTGATAAACATATCCAGATAATTAGAGCAATAATATTTATGTTTGATTCGTTGAAGAATGTGACAATTTTTGGGGAACAGATAAAGGTCATGAGCGGTTGAGTGAGTGACCGAGTGAGATCTTATAAACATTTCTAGACATATGACGACAAACCAGAAGTTGGCATGTCAGGTTGAATCTCTTTTTGCAATCGAACCCAGGTCTACGGCCTTATGAGTGAACACAATAGCCATTAGGCTACTTCAGCGCCCCCATGTAGATAGAAACTGTGGAGAATTAGCCTCAGAAATTTATGTTGACATCGACAGTGGAATTTGGTTAAAAAAAAAGGAATTAGTTTTATCGAAGACATGAACGTGCTTTGAATCCTGATGCTCACCACATAGCAATTAGATAGATAATGTTCTTCTGCAACCACACTGACTCCTATACCCAATACAACACTGGATGTGGGAGTAATATAATATCTATATCTATATCTATATCTATATATCTATATATCTATATCTATATTTATATCTATATATCACAGATACACCTGACACAAAACTGATCGATGTTGACTCGCGTAGGTGACTCTTTTTTTATTTCGGTAAAACAGAAACGTGCTGTTCGTGCCAGTCTTTCATTTCCGGAACTCCAAAATACAACTTTCTGTTTGTCAGCAGATTAGTGTGAGAAGGAATTGCATGATAATCAATGTCAAACTGGTCGAGCTTCACCCACGGGCTGCACATTGATCCGCGACGTCAGGAGAGTGGAACATCAGAACCAGTCTAGAGGCCTCCTAAAGACGGAGCTTAGTTTGGGGGAAAGCAAATATGTCACGAGAGAGTACTTTTCGAA